AGAATACTATATAGACGATAAGAGAAAAAATTTACAATATATTGCTTATTTAACCGTTCTTCATATGCAACCTTATAAATAAAAAAGGACATAATCACGGCCAACACTATTAATAGAAAACTTGATTTCTACTAACGGAAAAATGACACGTTTCTCAGTTTTGAAGGCACAGAGGATAATGCTTATGCTCTAATCTCTTAATGAAAACAATTTATTTATTCTAAAGTTATATGAGTGATGGTCGAAAAGATTAAGTTAATCGAGGCACTTTAGCTACGAAGTCTTGCCAAGTATATTTTATAGAAGAAATAGACTTATAATTGGGCAAAAATTAGTAAGGAAGAAAGTATAATCTACAGTGACACAACATGAGGGGATTAGAAATGATTAGTTACTATACCACCCAGTTTAACTGGAGTGAGCATAAAAAGCAGGAATACTTAATGAGCCCTAGGACAGCAATACCATAATACCTGGTAAAAGTACAATTTATGTTAAAACGATTACGATTATTACTGTTATGATTTATTAAAATTTATCTTATGTAAGTTAAATATGGACCTCTAGACGTTATGTTGTAACTTTTTATTAATTTTCATTACATAAAGTTTCTTCGTTTTTAAAGAGCAGAAATCATGCTTACGTTACAGCGGGTATACATTCAAAAGGGACATAAATAAATAAATCACCCTTGGTGAATAGGGCTCTTGACTTCCAGATTTGCAGGAGAAGATAGTCACGGTGTAATTCAACTACTTATATGAGATAAAAAAAGCTCTATTCAGGCCTTCACACCCAAATTGGACTTAAACTTCAAACCCAACCAACTCCCAACGGAGCTTAGGTCGGCAATTGGGCTTCCAATGGTCCGGCGGAACTACTCGGCCACACATACAGAGCACAAATTAATTATGAGACACGTGACTTTCGAGGCAATAAAGATCCGCGGCAATCCACATTTGACACTTATGATCCAGTTTTGACTCCCAGTATGCATAAAACAGTCAAATCCAATCCAGAATAGGGGCATATTTTTTGTTAAATTTGGTTAGAGCCCATATCGTCACCCATAACTACATTAGAAAAATGATGTTTTCCGCAAACCATGATTCTGTCTACATACCACTATTTGAGTGATAGATGCGTTCCAATTAGTCTTCCTACCAATATGACCGAGTTGCGAAAACAAAATAAAAATTGTTGATTATTTTTTCACTTTCCACATTCACAGCTATACTTCAACAGTGATGTGTTCCAGTTCCTGAGAATTCTGATTGCAGGCCAAGCTGTCGAGGAAATTGAAGCCATGTTTGCCCTAGGTTCTGGTATGTCATTTGAAAATTACAAGGTTATTTACTGCAACATGATAGGCTAGAAGTCTAACAACCTTCCCTTCCCGGCTTTAGGTCTGACGAAGGAATTAACTGAGAAAGAACGCCGTGCTCTCTCTGGAGTAAGAGTTGCGTTACGCAACTTTACCGATCCTCCTTTTATCTTTTTGATGGATAAGGAAAGAAAGGTAATACTTTTGCGAAGGATAATATTTCTCAAGTAAAGGCATGTAATTCAATTTAAATGCATTCAGTGTAAATGGTATTACGGTTAAACACAAAATTAATTTAATAATACTACTATGCATGTATATATATATATACATAGTAGTATTCTGTGAGAATATATTATATTATATATGTATAGTATGATTAGTATTATTATTCTAATTGTATTCTCATGCAATTTATAATGTAGTTTTTATTTGTATATAAACCGAATGCTACATAGAGTATAATATTGACTCTGAACATCTATTACATGAATATAAAGTAAATATCCAGCAATCATGCTATCTTTTATCATACGTAATATATTATGTCATTTAAATATATATAGATATATATCTTAAAATTACATAAAAGATTGCGTACAAATATTAAAATAATATTGATTTTTAATCATAGATTATGTTTATGTCTAGTATATTATTAGTAGTATCATATTTACATGTCATTTATAATTTATTTTTTATGTATATATATATATATATATATATATATCACATAATATACTTTATATAAAACTAACTAATACATATGATACAAGAGAGTAGAAATGCTGACTGAGAACTATGATCTATCTACTGGATATTCATGTAAATGCAAATAATTAGCAAACGTCGTTAGCTGAATAAATGTAATTCATGATGATATAATTTATTAAATCTGAATTTTTTAAATTTATTTAGCTGCCTTTGACGTATAAAGAACTTTTCCTTCGCTGTCTGAACTGTTGGCAGATACTTTGTCTCGGTCTGTATCGTCAGAATCCAAGTGGAAGCCGTTATGTTCTCACGAATCCGGGACATTTCATGGAGGTCTACAGCTCGGACATGGTAGGTGTTCTTAGGTTCTACCGCATACCGTTTGTGTGAAGAGTCCATAGTATGCATGATAATGTCCAGAGTCATATCGTGAATTTCTTGCATTCCAAGACGTTTTGCTGGCATCTTATTCGGCATCGTCAGTGAGCCTTGTCACAATTAGCACCACAAATTGCCTTATTCGTCCGGCTGTAATCGGTACACTGTTTGGCAATTTTACTTCCATCGTTTAATCGAAGGTATGAAAAGCAAGATGGTGTGGCCTTTCATATGATCGCGAGCTCATTTCTTTGCGTAGAAGTTGCTACAAAGTAGACATTAACCGTTGGTCAAACTATCTACTTTCTTGTCTCTTTGACGCGTTGTAGTGTGGTACTAACGATGATAAGGCTTACTGACGATGCCGACTAAGATGCCGGTGAAACTCCTGCAAATGGAAATGATTATGCATACAATGAACTCCAGACAAAGTGCGTTTGTCCAGGTCTTCCTGCCAATATGACCAAGTTGCGAAAACAAGGTCAAACAACTTCTATACAACAAAAGGAGACTGCGACCAAAATAGAGGTCTTCATACCTTCGATTAAAATACTTACATGATATGTATGCATCCCATTTCGTTTAAGTTTATGGACTGACAGTTGAATTTTCACATAATGATATGAATTGAGCTGATGCTTTCTATTTAATTTCACATAGCCTTGTTTTCCTAAAATTCTCATCCAGGCTGAAGTGGACTGTAGATTCGACCTCTCCTTGGTCTTATCAACACACCCAGCCATCGAACCCTGAAAGTGTAACGTATACTCTCGGCACGTTAAAAACTACGCCACATTGCCACGAGGGTCCTTGGGTTATAGGGAAGATGTGAATTTCAAGGAAGTCCAGACATTTTCTCATATCATATTCTTTGGTTGGCTTGTCGATGAAGCAAAGTTCTATTTGCTATGATAAACGAATACATTACTTATGTATCGTTCACAAGTAGGGCTTCGGAACAACATGTCATATAACCAATTTACTGGTGGTCTCGAAAACATACTTTTGAACCAAAAATAAAACAATTATTGTGTTGGTTCGACCTTGTTCTCGCAACTTGGTCGGAGCGTCAGAGAGACCTTGTGGAACGTACCTGTTCCCGCGTCCCTTGTCATGTTATTAGTGATTTCCAGCACTGTTCGATTGATTTGGTACATTTCCAAACATTTCACCAGCATAGTAGCCGGTATCATCAGTGAGTGGCACCATCGTAAGCGCAGAGTTACAACTTATCAAAAGTGACCAATTTTCTGTTGTGGCATCACTCCTTTTCTCTATTTTTTCTTCTACCTTCTAGTGTCGCATCTCTTTCTCTCAACCATACTTCATATAACCCATCCACTTATTCACACTAGTCTGTGCTCTCATTTCCTCCAATGTCGCATAAGCGTGTGTCGCTGCAAGTGAGTTGAGTGAAGCCTAATCGTCTCCACCACCGGTACCAGGTGCAGTTTGCAGGGCTTACATTCTTGCCTCCATTTTTTACCTACCGGCTTGTCGATTGGCTGCTGATAAACATAAAAACCACTTGGTCATATTGGTAGGAAGAGCTAGAGGAACGCATCTTGTCCCGAATTCATAGTATGCATGATCATTTCCAGAGTCGGACCGTGGACTTGATACGTTCCCAGACGTTTCGCCGGCATCGTTAGTAGGCCTTGCCACTGTTAGCACCACACGACAACTCGTCAAAGAGACAAGTGAAGCCGATTCTTAGACCAAATGTCTGCTAAACAGTTTTGGTATCTCTCCTTCTGTCCTGGGCTACTCATCAAATAATGAAGAGCAGACTCCAACTCGAATTTTTCGAAAATCAGATCATCAATCTAGAGGACGACCAGAAGTGGATTTGCCTGCCCTCAATTGCGACTGTTACTAAGGGAATGGAATATCAAGGTGATAACAAAAGAGAAAAAAACACTTTTCACTAGACTACCGACGCAACACGAGAAGACTGACAAACTTGAATGATCGGGAGTTTGTCGCATCAAATGCGGAAACTGTGATCAGAAGTATATTGGTGAAACAGGAAGAAAAATCGGCCTACTACTTAAGGAACATCAAAGACTCTGCAGGAACATGGATACGAAAAGATCCGAAATAGCGGAACAGATTGCACGAACGGGACACGAAATTGACTGGAAATCGACCAAAATGCTGGCTGCATGTAGTGAAAATACGAAAAAACGCAAGATCCGAGAGGCCATCAAAATACTGACCGATATAAAATATAATGAAAAAAGAGACTTGAAGAGGGCAGGATCAGCGAAAAATTTGATTATTTCCTCAACAAACTCGGAGAAGACCAGGCGACAGAAGGATCAGCAAAAAGAAGACAACTGGATCACGGTGACATACTCAATTTTAGGAAAAGCGATCGCAAGGGGACGAGAAAGGAACAATCAGAAGCAAAGAAAAGACGTCTTCAGTGAGCCAAATCAAAACAAGTAGAAGCACAACATTTGTGGGTTGGCACACAAGAGACGGCGTTGGAGATTTGAGCTAGTTGGCGAACAGATGACGTATTTGATCATAGATTTGATCCATGAAGCAAAGGCTTGACGATGAGAATTACTCAGGATCCACAGCTTGAGAATCCTGATTTTTAGAGGCCTACTCAGCGAAGTGATAGTATGCGTGCCATCTGAGACTTGGAGCAGTGTGTGAGATATCGCTTAGAGTAGTACAGAAAGAATGGCAGGGCTAGAGTGAAATGCCTGAACTAGGAATGTAGGAGGCGGAGGGAGGCAAGAGGGAGACTCTGATAAGACCTATGCGAAGAGGACTATGAAGTGAGGGGGTGGGAAAACAAGTGTGGGATTTGGAGAGTTTTCATGAAATCCACTAAAAAGGGCGCACCATACCACATTTAAATGAGAAATAGTGATGGTGAAGGGGTGATACAAGGAGATAGGATCAGTGAATAGGCCAGAGTAGAGGGAAGGATACCACAAGTCTGCTCAGACAGCACACAAAATTTTCGCCGACTCTTCCCATTTCCAATCTTTTTTTCTTCAGGTTTCTTTGAAAGAAGATGTACACATCCTCTTTGATCTTCCTTCTCCTGGTGTTTTCCTCATATGATGCCAGTCTTTCCGTTGCATTCCAGTCAATTGTGTGGCCAGTAATGGCGATGTGTTCAGCTATCCCCGATCTTTCTGTATCCATTTTTCTGCATAGTCGCTGGTGTTCTTTGATCCTTGTGCTGATTGTCCTTCCTGTCTCTCATATGTATTTTGCATACAGTCCTTGCTGTGTATGCTGTAAATTCCAGAGTACCCCATTTTGTTGACTTCTTCATGTCATGTGGGCAAGCTGGAGGAGATGGTGAAGGAAGGGACAACTCCTTTCTTTCAGGATTGTACGAATGTTCCATTTCTATAGCAGCAGCACAGCTTCCGAGCCAATTGACAGGAGGGTAAACATATCCTTCATTTTCCTCTGTTTCTCTTGCTTTCCTTCCGTTATCCCTGTCCTTCCATCTGTTCATCACAATCCGTATGTTGCGTTGTCGTGCTCCTTCTGAATATCCGTTTCCAAGAAGTTTATGAGTTAGTTTTTCCGGTTCCTCTTCCAAGGACTCTGATTCTTTAATTCGTAGGTTTCTAATGACGATACTCGGGAGTATTCCAATCTTAATTTCAACAGTTTGCTTAAACTCGAAGTTAAGAGTTATTTCAGCATGCAATTTCTTTGATAATATCGTTCATTGAGAGTTTCATCGGGGCGAATGACCTCCAATTTCAAGCAAGGTCCGTTCTCTGCCACATCCATTGCAAATTTGACTTTCTACATTCACTTTGTTTATGAAGAGCATGAAATCGTCTAATTTTTCTCTGCGAAGAAAAGTTGGGTTTCGAGGAATTTCTTGTTTCATAATTGTTTTGCTTACTTCCATTTCGTGTGAAAGTGTTTGGTGGAGAGATTCGAAGGTCGATTCCACCAGAAGACGATGGCGGATT